CATTTAAGCCATGTCCGTTTTCAGTTATTTAGCTTTTTCTGCCATTTGTTCTCATTGCACATGAAGAATTTTCTTTAACATCCTTAAAATCCTTTAAAATGTTTATATATCTTTATTGTAATTTTATCTTTTGTTCTGGTTTTGCTTTTTTCAACTTCTTTGTGCTAATTTCAGCTTCAGTCAACTTCTCTTTTTTAGTGCTAATTTTAGTTTATTTCTGCTTTTTCAGCTCCTTTCAGTTATTCTACTGCTAATTTAAATGTTTTTAGGCTTTTTCAAACTGTTTTCTGCCCATCTAGTGACTTTGTAGCTATTTTGTAGCTAATTTTAGCTTTTTTGCATCTAAATTAACATTTTGTGGTAATTCAAGCTTCTTACTACTTAATTAAAAAAAACATGCTCTGTTCTTTTCTTTGTGCTAGTTCCAGCTTTTTCAGCTACCTTTTTTAAGCTATTTTCTGCTAATTTAGGCTGTTTTAGCTATTTTACAACAAATTGCAACTTTTTTGTTCTGCATTTTTTTGCTAATATGAGTTTTTTAACTCTCCCTTTACCATCTGTCTGCTAATTTCAACTTGTTTMRACTTTTTTTWAACACATTTTTGATATTATTCTACTGATTTTCACTTTTGTTTTTCTACTTTCAGCAAAAGTCAGCTTGAAGTCACATTARCAGTTTTGCTACTAAACATTKTCAGCTTCTTCAGCAGCTTTCAGGAAAAAAATCTTTCTGCATTAAGCATTCACACTGCATTTTTGCAAGTAAAGCAAATTCTGTAGTTAGATGTACAAATACAAGCTAAAGCAGAGGTGAATGTTTGTTATAAATAGTTAAATTGAATATTCTGGTCTATAAAAGCTACAAAGAAAGGAAATAATTGTCARTGTGAAGTTAAAAACCTTCCTGGAGTAAAAAGCCTGCGTCGTCCCTGCAGTGAGACATGGATTACACAAAGCAGCTGTAATAATAGCGGCTGTGTCCTTGTTTGCCAGAGACCCGTCCAAATGGCAGGTTGGGGACGTGGAACATTTGGGCAGGCTTGTGTTTGCCCTCTCCACAAAGCAGATTAACTCCATTCCTCTGGTGAGTCTGACACGAGTCATTAGTCGTCTGAAACATCTCCTGCCAGCGTGAACGTACGATGTTTTTCTGAACAGACGGTGCTGAACAGGGACGTGGTGGAGCAGGTCCTGGCGGGTCAGAGGCGCTGGCGGGACAGTGTGGTCGGTGAGGTCTGTAGCAGCCGGTGCGTGGACCAGGATTACCACAGACAGCAGACTCAGAGTCTCCTTCGAGGGATTGTCAAAGCACGGAACAGGAGGGCGAAACGTAAAACWTGCAGCATCTAAAGCGTGATCCATAACTACAACCTGATACATGGGTTAAATTTATCTGTTTTTTTTTTTTCTGAGCAGTGCCGATTCCAAGCTGCACAGACATCAGGGGGACGTTTCCTTCTGCCTGGACGTCCACCCAGCTCCGTCGGATGTCTGCAGAGGAGCTGARAGTGTGCGTGGAGGTTCTGGGTCAGGATTTGTCTCTGAGCTCCGAGCAGCGACGGGCGCTGTGGGTGAAACTCAGGCAGGTGAGGAAAACACCTCCCGTTAAAAGCCACGTGTCATTATCAGTATGATTTTCAGCTCTGTGGGATCTGCACACACTGTCCCCCCCCACCCTGACTCATGAATGACAGCATGTTCTGTTCTGATGATGATACAGACTCTATGTGGGTCAGCCAGAACAACCTCCTGACCTCAACGTTCCCCACAGGCTGATTTCTGTGGAGAACATTATATTATCCCTCATCAACACACATTTGTAAAACAACATTATATTAAAGAAAAATCTTATTGTGGAATAAAGAAAACATTACAGGGACAATAATAAGACCGTAGCTCTATCTGAAGTGTTTTTATATGTTGTTATTCTGAGGGGAAGTGTTGATGTGATTCAGTTCTTCAGTCCCGTGAAGGAGCTGAGAGCAGACCAGGTTCTGAGTCTGGGATCGGTGCTGACAGAGATGGGTGACAGAGAGCTGCAGGACACCAACCTCACCCATCCAGGCGTGTTGGCACATCTGGGCACGCTGACGGGCTGGACTCCTCAAAAGGTAGACTCTGATTCTTAAAWTTTTTTATTTTTGCTACAGGACTTACATTCTCGTCATCTTGCTCAGGCTCCCTTTGCATCACTTATTTAAGTGTTGGTTACCCCTGTCGTCATTAATTGATGACATGAGAACGAGGAGGAGGAGCCAGTTCTCATATTTTAAAAAACATWCAAATGTGCTACAACTAATCCTAACTATAACACTAAACTTAACCTCTACTAACCCCAGCAGCATCTGGAGGATAAATATTAGCGGGGCGTACAATAATTTCCTGAATTAATATCTTTACAAATGTTACAAATTCTGTCCCATTCTTTGTTGAAAAGATAGACGTTATTTATTAAATCAGTTATTTGTGCACAAAGTTATCGTGTTTTTTTCTCCCTCCCTGCAAGTCAAGGTTGTGTCTCATGAAAAATGTCATGTCTAATAAATAAATCAGAGAAAAAYACCTCCTGCAACCACCTGAAAGTATGTTTTAGTTTAATTGATGGTAAATKTAATCAGATAGGTACACAGCTTTCTGGATTGGATTTCTAATTTAATTTCAGTAAGAATTTGGCAATAATATTCCAGATTAATGAAGTTAAATAGTGGGAAGACGTCTTGCAAAGTAACTCTAAATATAAAGTAAAAAAATAAAATAAAAACAGCAAACTGTGAATTATGCATCTCAACTCWGAGGCGGCTGTGGCTACAATGTAGTTTGCCATCATCAGTGTGTGAATGTGAGTGTGAATGGGTGAATGTCTGTCAGTGTAAAGCGTTTTGAATGTCCTGGATGGATAGAAAGGCGCTATATAAGTACAGTCCATTTACCATTTACATATACAGTCTRTGTTAGCACAGAGCTAGCACAGTAACATACTGTCTGTACCGACACGTCAATTAATAATGAGAGGGAGCCTGACCAAGTGTCCGTATTTGATGGGTAGGGAGTGGTAACTTGTAAAATAAATGTTCTTATCTGACTCCTCAGATGCGAGCGGTGACTCTAGGTGTGATGCGGAGACGCAGACAGAAGGTGGAGCAGTTAACATTTGTCGATCTGGCAACGTTCGGTCATCTGATCTGTGGTCTGAACCCCTCAGAGATCAAACGACTGAGCCCATACGACCTCAGGTCTGTCAGAGAAGTCCATCAGAGTAAATCTATACACRTTACCTGCTGGAACAATGACTTTTACAACATGAAAATGTGAAATTGTTCAATATTTTGAAAGGAAACGATGTCAAACYCTGCCACGTGTCCATTACAGACTGCAATAAATATAAATAATGTGGACTGAGTTCAGCAAATAAAGTCAAAATGTGCTGATAAACAGTTTATTTGAGCATATTTATTTTAGTTTTAAGCAAAAATCTCACAAAATGAGAAACTCTTAGARTTTTATAAATGTCCATCAGCTAAAATTACACCAAATTTTAGCTCTTTACCTTTAAAATTAACTGAATTCGATTTTTCATTTTCAAAGTTCAGTTGGCTGTCTACCATCTTGAATTGTGTTGTAGAGAAAGAGATTATTTCCTGAAAGTTTCATTAAAATTTGTTCTGTAGTTCAGTAGATTCTTTGCTAACAGAGTTGACTCCATGTATTTATGGGACAAATCAGGACAAAACTCCTTCAAACATTCAGTGTCTCCTCAGTCTGAAGTCTTTAACCTGTCCTCCTGCAGTGTGGCCGTCCTGTTCCTGCGGGACATGTCCTTGCCCTGTTCGGAGCAGCAGATGGAGGCTCTGACAACCCGTTTGTCCAGACCCGAGGCCTTTGGTCCGGTCAGCGCCTGGGGGCCGGAGATCTTCTCTGAAATTGGGACTCTGGCAGGTACGGCAGAGCGTATTATCCCTGCAGGTGGAGACTGAAAATGAGTTTCTTGTTTGAAAAAACGGCAGCTCTTAGATGGATAGGCACAATTAAAATCACCCCAGAGGGTCTAGGTTTGAGGATTCAGGGAGGAAAGTTTTTTTTCTAGATTTTTTGTGTGATTTGAAAAGAGGAACATTAATTATCTGAGCTCGGTGTTTGTCTGTGTTTCCAGCGGGCCTGCCTGACTTGGTGCTGTCAGCTCTGCTGCGAGAACAGATGGAGGGAATCGCCCCTGAAGCTGTCGCCCTGATGCCACCTGGAAAGATGGCCGTGAGTTTGATCGGTCGTTTAAATGTTGTTGGTTCAAACTGACCTCCAGGTTCAGTGGTGATGAGAAGAATACAGCTGATTAAAACTAAAAAGTCTAAACTGACCATTTGGTTTTTTTTCACTGTTTTTGAAAATAGCAGAAAATTCTCAAGTTGTGTGAATACTTTTCAAGCATTCACACAACTGAGATCCATTTGTTTTGTATGTTGCTTTGCATGTTACTTATGCTGCAATTTTTGTCCTATTTGAACAATTTGTGTATCAAAACATTCAGCTCCTTCAGGACATTCYGGCTTTGACTTTTGGTATTTCAGCAGTTTATACTTTTTTTTTAGTTTTTTCAAACATTTTCATTTCTCAGTAAAAAAAAAAAAGAGCGGTCTTCTGTTGGGTATTTTTCCAGGCCCAATCTAAAAGAACCAMACAGAGACAAGAGTTAACTTCTTATCAAGCTTTTTGCAAAAAGGAGAGACATACAGACACCGAGCTTTACAGGTCAATGTCTCCAAACTCTGAAAACCTCAAGCAGCAGCTTCATAAGACAGGTCAAATGTTATACAGCAGCTGCCTTCATGTAGTAGAAAAACAACAGCAGGCGTGCTTACCGCAACATTCCACTTCTGATGAGACAGAGGAAGTGATAAGGACAAGTTATTTATTAAAA